GGTGTGTGGTGGCCCCGGGCGGGACGGGAAACCGGGCCCGGTGTGCAGCAGCCTGACCCAGCTGCCCGCCCGTCCCCCAGCAGCGAGCAGCCCAGGCAGCGGCGACACCCGGTGCCACAGCCTCGGGAGGAGGCCCGGCGGTGAGCCTGTCCCTGGGTTCTGCCTCTCCCCAGCGGTGCGACCGGGCAGAGGAACGGGAATGGAGACCCCGCACCCCACGTGCTCCTACTTCCCCGCGGGTTCCCCGCCAGCACCGGTCAATGTCCCGCGGCCCAGCGATGCCAACATCTCGCTGTGGACTGTGGTGGCGGCCGTGCAAGCAGTGGAACGGAGCGTGGATGTTCACGCCGAGCGGCTGCGCAACCTGGAGCACCGGACGGTGACCACCGAGAAGAAGTACTTCGACTGCGAGAAAACAGTGGTGGAGTTCGGGAACCAGCTGGAGAGCAAGCTGGCAGCGCTGGGCACCCTCATCCGGGAGTACGGGCAGCTCCAGCGGCGCCTGGAGAACGTGGAGAACCTCCTGGAGAAGAGGAACTTCTGGGTGCTGCGCCTGCCCCCCGGGGAGGAGGCCCCCAAGGTAATAAACAGCTCCTTAGGGGCTCGGAGAGAGGGTTGGGGACAGGACGACGCATGCAGCTCCAACACTGCCCTCCTTCACCCAGCAGCCATCTCCCGTGAGGCCTAAAACGTTGGGTTTAAGCATGAGGTTTAGGTGGGAGCAGCTTCGCCTGCGGTCAGGCAGGGAGCAATGGCTCAGTGGGTGTGCTTAGATTGAGCCCCATCCCGCTGCAAAAGGTTGTTGCATTTTTCACGATAAAACAGTAGATTGTTCCTCGCGCTGAGGTCCACCAGCCTGCATCATGAGAATATCGTAGGATTTGCAGTTCTCCAAGAACTACCGAAATTCCTTAAACTGAGCTTTAAATTACTTTGTGTCATGAGGATACACCAAGGCAGGATTTTTTTTTTTTTTTTTTTTTTTGGCCGTCCAGTACTTGACATGCAGCAACCACAATAAGTAGAAGGAGGACATTTCCTGAGGGTGGTTCAGCGGTTCCAGAGCCGGTGCTGAGTGAGTGGCTTTTGTGATTGCAGGCCCCAGGGGTCTTGGGAAGCAATGCTGCCTACTTCTCTGCTCAAGAGAAGAATTGTCTGGAGGAACGGCAGAAGGAGCTGCACAAAACCGTGCTGAGAGGGAAGAACGAGTCTCTGATCTCTCTGGGTAGGTATCGCTGCTTCAGGCAGTTATCGGCGCTTCCCGACTAGCTCCATTTTGGGGACTTTTTCCCACACCTGGGAAGCAGGTGTGTAGGAACGTGGAGAAGTCGATGCCTGTTGCTGCAGGGAGCATGTGTCACATCCAGTCCCACCATCCCAGCGCTCACTGGGTGCGAGTGCTGACTGCAGTCCCATCTGCATCACGGCCTGTGGCCACCACAGCCCACAGGCTCGTGGGGGTTTTCCCCACTGGGGTGGTGTTGGCTGCCCAAGGTGGAAGCCACCGTGTCCCAGTGGGCTGTGCTGAGGGCTCTCCGTGCTTGTGGCCAACAGAGCAGGTTTTGGGAGCACAGCTGAGCATGTTCCTCCTCCTGGATACAGCAAGGAAACGTTCATATCTCTGTTCCTCAACAGATTACGCCATCTCCAAACCTGACCTCCTGTCTCAGCTCCAGAAAGGAGAAGTGGTTTCGAGGGAGATTCCAGCAGAACCAAGTGCAGGCAAGAAATGAGTTACAGCTTTATTCTCGGGCGTCGTACTTGCACCTGGTTGTCACCAAACAGAGGATGTCCCAAAGCTGAGGGGGGAACTCCTTGGATCTCAAGAGGAGGGGCCTCAGGTAGGGCAACAGGGCTTAAGAAAAAAAAACCTTAATGGATTTGATCTTTCTCTTTAGCAGAGACTCTGCTCTTTAGACTTGATGCGAGCACCCAGGACAGTGGAGGACTGAGGGAAAGCCAGGAGGGAAGCGCCATGCTGGCTGAACCTGGAGCTGGTGAGCACTGTCCTGATGGGGAGTGTTGGGCACAAGGGCAGGGAGGACACTCCTGAAACGGGAGGAAAGGGGGGAACCCCTTCCCTGCAGGGCAGAGTAAAAGCTCCCAGAGGTCACAGAGTGGCTGGGAGCAAAGCTGGGCACAGCGAGGGGAAAGCTGAGCGGTGCTGTGCAAACCAGTGAAGAAATTTCCTCTTTTCCTGAGCAGACAGCGGCATTCCAGAGCTGAGCTTCGCGGGCACTGTGAAGCAAGAGGAAGGGCTGTGCACGGAGGAGCGGGGAGCTGCAGAGGACGCAGAGTTTGCTGAACTCAGTGCGGGTGAGTTCCCAGCCCTCCCACCGGAGGCACAGGGAGTCCCCGACGTTCCTGCGGTGGGACAGCGAATGCCAAGACATGGGGACTGAAGAGAGGCGAAAGAGGTTGGGGAGGGAGAGCAAGGGCCACGCTGAGGTTGAGAAAGTGGATGGAAAGCGTATGGGCAGCGTTACTAGTAGGAGGATTAAAGTGCCGGGTAGACGAGGCACAGCACGTGAGGAAATAGGCATCCCTGGAATAAATCAAACAGAATGATGTCGAGGACAGTTCTTCTCCAGAGATGGCGTTACACCAAAATGTCTGGGGGACTGAGTGTAGTTCTGCTCACTGCAGCAGCCAGGGACACAGCCCAGAGCAGAGCAGCGAGGTGGGGGTCTTCTGTATCAGGAGAGATTAAACCCCTCAGGCTGTGGAAGGGGCAGCAGAGGGGGGGATACCCCACGGCTCTGTGCCTGGGTGAGCCGAAGGAATGAACCTTCGCCCCTCTGGCTGCCCGAGATCCAGGCAGCTCTTGGTGAAACGAGCAGACGTTTGCTTTGGACTGAGCAGAGAAAACTGTTATGGTGCATGTGCAGGCTGTCGATCCTCCTGCCACAGGGCACGGCAGTGGCTGAAAGCAAAGCCGGCTTTGGGCAAATTCCCAGATGGAATAGCACCTCCAGCTCTGATCCTGCTGCAGGGAGGCCGTCCCCAGAGCTTGGCTCTTCCCGGCAGCCCCTGGGCTTCTTGGCACCCGGCCCAGAACGTTCTGCTCCCTCTTGTGGGTCTTGTGTCCTCTAGAGCACATCTGCTGCCTTTCTGGAATTTCTTCTGCTTGGTGGCTGCATCCTCAGAATCCCAGAACCATCTGGGTTGGAAAAGCCCTTGAAGCTCCTCCAGCCCAACCATGAACCTCCCCCTGCCCGTTCCCAACTCCACCAGATCCCTCAGCGCTGGGTCAGCCCGACTCTTCAACCCGTCCAGGGATGGGGACTCCCCCCCTGCCCTGGGCAGCCCATTCCAGCTTCTGGAAAGTAGAGAAGATGGAGCTGTGCTCCAGAGCAGTGCCTCGGTGGCTACCTAGTGGCTAGGGAAGTGATGTCTCTGTATTCCCAATAATAATGCAATATTTACATGATTATTAGACTGTCCCCAGCTCACCAATCACTTCCTCACCCTCAGTCCTGATCTCTGCTTATTCTCCTTGTGCCATATCAGAGGTGTCAGTGGGGTTTGCTCAGTTTTTGCTGGGATTTGCCCTGCTGTGACTAAATCTTAGATGCTCTTTCTCATGCCCCTTTGTGTCATGTTGTCACCTCTCCTCTATCAGTTGATGCACAGCATGGGTGAACTGGGGAGTGACACTCTCCAGACAGGAGGCTGCTCCCTGCTTGGGTTTTGCTCTCACACTGTTGACAACTTTAAAAATGGTTGTGTGTTGGCAGTTTCCATCCTTGAGCTTTGGTTGGGTTTCCACCAATGGGTCATATTCATACCCAAGTTAACTAAAATTAAACGTTCAGGTAGGAATGAGCATTGAGAGAAAGTTTGAGACAGGTGTAGCGTGAATAGAAAACCCCAGGCACCTAGCTCGGAGATGAAAAGCAACGAACCCTCGTAGAAAATGTACTTGTGCTGCCTCAGTGAGGAGGCTTCCTCATTACATACATATCCTGGGCAGCAGCAGGTATGTCTCGAGTCAAAACCTGCCTGTGTTCATGTGTCCCCTTTCAAGAAGGGGGCTACACTGGTAGGACACCACGTCCTGGGAGCGGAGTGGGGGTGGATCTCTGAGAAGGAGCTGGTGCTCGCTGAAGATCGGGAAGTACCGAGTCGTTGGTGTGGGGAGAGGGAGGCAGACGTGCTGGGGAGGGAAGCCAAGGGCTGCCCCAGGTCTGTGAATGCTTAGAAGAGTGTGAGAAAGGCCCTGCTATGCAGCCTGTAGGCTGTGCAGGCTCGTGGAGGAGGGAGGAGAGGAGTCTGTGCTGCTCAGCTGGAGATGATTCTGGAAACTGCTGAACTCTGCTGTCTTGGAAGGCAGCGCTTCCCTCTCGTGGCTGCTCAGCCAGCTGAAGGGGAAGCCTTCCTGTGCTTTTCACTCGTGTTCTGTCTTTCAGTCCTTCAGCTGGCTGTTGCTCTGGGAGCACAGCTGCCCTTCACACTCCCTGTGTGAGACTATTTGATTCAGCGGTGGCTGGGGTGGGGGGGGAAAGGAGCCAGGGGGATTTCAGAAGCCTCTGGTGTCTCACCCCAGTGAATGTCCCCTTTGTTGTTCCCCTCAGTTCCAGCAGATGAGGTGATAACGTTCAAACTGGAGCAGCTGGATTCAGAGGAACTCACCCAAAGCTCAGAGCCCCCTGCAACTTTATGCAGGGAGTCGGAGGAGCTGCTTTTCCAGGGTCCCGGTGAGGCGCTGCCCTTTGATAGTCAGTACAGCCCTCCTGTGCAGCCAGGACACCTGAGCATGGGCAGGCTGGTGCCATCCACTCCGCGGGAAGAGGGGCTGAGCAACAGCAATGCTGGCACCGTCTGCGGGCAGAGCTGTCCCAGCAAGAGCCCTCGCTCGTGTGTTATGTCTGGAAGGGGTTTCTGTCTGAAGAAGATGCCGATGACTCTCCGGGACAGCCACAGCACACAGCACAGCGCTGGGCACGCTGGAGACAAGGAAGGCTTCCTCTGTCGGCACGTGGAAGACAACGGGACCCACGTGGAAAACAGGATCCACATGGCCACGGAGCGGTTCAAGCAGAACCAGACCACAAAATCCCGCGCCAACGTGACAGCCATGGGCAGGGTGTATGACAGCCCCAGGTGTGAGAAAAGCGTCGATGCCGGTGGCAGCGGCAGCTGCCAGCCAGGTCAGAGGGGCCGCCCACGGGAGAGGCCTTACAAGTGCAACAAGTGCCAGGAGTGCTTCTCCCAAAAGAAAACCCTCATCATCCACCAGCGTCTGCACACGGGCCGGAGCGCGGGGGTCCTATGGTGCCCATACTGTGGGAAGACCTTCAGCCACCCCTCCACTCTGCTTCGGCACCAGAGGATCCACACAGGGGAGAGGCCATACCAGTGCAATGAGTGCCCAAAGCGCTTCACCCAGAAGCAGCACCTCCTCCAGCACGGGAAGATCCACCTGCGCGAGAGGAACTGGGTGGTCACGCAGAGTGTGAGAAAGGCCCCGCCACACAGCTTGTAGGCTGTGCAGGCTTGTGGAGGAGGGAGAAGGGGAGAGAGTCCCCGCCGCTCGGTGCTAAAGGCTCCTTGAGAATTTATCCCAAAGATCCAAGGCAAGTAGAATTTAGGATTCACCTTAGTACCACTTCCCTTTTCCTTGTGGTGGTGGTGGTGTGCCACGGTACCTCATAGCCTGCCCCCAAATCTCTTCAGAATAAAGGTGTTTTGGGCTTCTCTGAGTTTGAGTCAGTTATTTGAACTGGTTCAAGCAAGGTTAAGTTTTGGAAGCTGATCTTCACTTGGGCTTTTCGCTGACTGCTCCTCTTGACAACGTTCTGCCGTTCTTCAGTTCTGTGGGCGAGTTTGAGTTCGCAAAAAACTCCTGGCAACTAAACATGTGCACAGAGTGAGGCCTCGCTTGTGGCTTGCACAGCTGCCCCCTTTGCCCAGGAGGGACAGGCAGGCAAACCAGCTCCCTCTGTGCCTCAGCACAGGCCAAATGATGTTTTCACAGTTGCTTCTGCTCAGGAAGCTGCCTGGAAAAGAAAGGCTCAGTCCCTTTTCTAGAGCTTGAAATCGGATTTAGTTTGCTGTAAATGATAACGATAGGGCCACGTTCTGCTTGGCGTTCTGATGTGCACTGGGACAGGCTTCACTAGCAACTGGATTGCACAGCAGGAAGCATCTTCACTGCAGTTGTTTGCCTGGTGAGCAGCTGTCTACCACCTTTCCTCATCCTAGTGCTGCCGAGGTCCTTGATTTCACGGCTCCTGACGAGCCTGAGTAGGTCTGTGTGCAGTGAGCCCCCCCTCTGTGCACATAATCCTTTTTTTTTTTTTTTTTTTCCCCAAATAAGAATGAGGACAGAGAGTTTGGTGTTTTGTGACTTCTCAGAGTTCAGTGACCATAAAGCAGTGCACACGGACCGGGTTTTCCCCACTGTTCGATGTGATGAAGGATTCTTTTGGCAGTTAGAAATACGGGGTGTTTGATACCCAGGCAAGCAGTTTGGGTCTTCTCCAGCAAGGAGATAAACTAATCAGTTCAGTGGTTTCCTCCCGACTCCAATTAAACTGCCTATGTTTTACACTTTTGTTACTTAGACTGTGAGTCTTCAAGGCAGGGAACTTGTTTCTATCTGTAAAATACATTGAATTTGCAGCAGCAGATACTTGATTTTTAATAACATTAAACAGCTGTGAAGTTCTAGATGCTTTTTTTGTCTTTTTTTTTTTTTAAATCATTTTACCTGGATAAATGTCAGTTTGCAGTATCATACCTTACTGATGGAGACACAAAAGTCTACCCTGAATTAGAAAAAAGAATGGAGTGGGTTTTCTTTTTCTTTTTTTATCCAATATTGTGGTGCAACCTCAGCAGGATAATTGTTTTCCCTGCATGTATCTGATATCCAAGCAGGGCCTGCTTGATAAGAGTATCTAAAAGTAGGCTGTAAATAAATTCCCTGTAGAATTCTCATCCTGCAGGCAGATCACATCGATCCTGCTGCCAGCAAAAAGTTCTCAGCAGCCGCAGCATTGCAGTCATTCTCAGTTTAGCCCAGCCAAGTCCAGGAAGAGCAGGATGTGTTCTGGGATAAAGATGGAAAGATGTTGCCGCATCAAGCAGCGGAGGTGCACTGCTCACTGTTTCCCCGGTGACCAGAGCATCCTGAATCTTAGTTAGGGTCCTTTCAGCAGCACTCCTAGATTATTCTACAGGTGCCTTTTCCAGGCTGTTCCTGTGTCTTAAAAAAGGATGATAACAAACGTCAAAACTGCTACCATGTTGCCATCTCTCCTCCCTGTTGCACTGTTGCCGTGTATGTTCTAGTGCTGACCTCCTGCCACTTTATTAGACACTTTAGTTTTAAACGTGGAAGAAAATGAAGCAGCTGCCTGACATCTGAAGCGTTCACAGCTGAGATATCTCTGTAGCTGCAACTGTACAAGAATATCCAAAACGAGGGGATATGGGTGAGCTAGGGAGGGTTACGCTGTCCCAGCAGCACTCTCCTCTTTTTCACTGGGAGCTTTCATTCGTTAACTGCTGTCTGAGCACCAGGAGCATTTCATGTGCTCCGTGTTTCATCACTTCTTGATGCTACCTTTGATAACCCAGATGAAGCAGTGTTTTGCACAGTGAGTCATAGTTTCCCTATCCTAGCCCAGTTCCCCTGTGTTTCATAGACAAATGTATTTATAATAACAAATCTCAGAACTATTTTGAGATTCAGGCTGCTTAAACTACCAAAATTCAACCCTGAATCCAAGGAGAAACATCAAGTGACACAGAAACACGCAGCTTTTCCAAGAGCAAGAAGAGAAATCCTCCCCGTGCAGAGTGATGCTCAGAGGAGAGCACAGCAGCTGCAGGGGAATGCAAGTGTAGATGTGATGGCGAAGAAGCAAGTTCTCCCACACCTACCCTGGGATGTGTTGTGGAGTCTCCACGACTTCCATGAACAAGCACTGAGCTTTCATCAAGCGTTTCTCAGTGTGCAACGTTTTCCTGACCTTCCGTTATCTGGGCTGCTGTAGCTTAGTCTGGAGCAGGACAGCAGCCTCCCCTGCAAAGCCAGTTACGTAGGCTGAGATATCCTTCACAAAAGGAGGCAAAAGTCATGCACAAAAAAACAGGGGAAAAAAAAACCTGACCCCGGTGCACTCAGGACAGCAATGTCTTACTGGATTCTCAAGTTCTGGCAAATGCAAGCTACTTTGCTTAAAAGCAGCTCGGGCTTTTGTTTGTTCATTTTGCAAGCACTTGGCGCTGTCAGAGCAACTCTTGGATTTATTGCTGCTTTATGATTTCAGGTATTTGTGCCTTACCACGCTGAGGTGGGAATTCTTTGTGTCCCACCGTTTCGGTCACCTCTGGTGGTAAGGGAGGTCCCGTTTTGTGTAGCTGGTGGCCAGAGAGTTCAGCAGATTCACCAGATGAGGAGGATAAGGCACAGCTGGTGATTCCAAGTAGACTCTGGGTCACACAGCAGCCGTCAGTCCTAGAGGGAAGGCCTGGGAGGTAACTCCTCTGTGGTGGGTGTACCCTGTTGTCCTGGTTTGAGTCAGTGGCGGATTTTTTTGGTCACAGGGCAGGGAGCTACAGCAGTGACCCCTGTGAGAAGCTTCTGGAAGCTCCTCCAGCTCCATGTCCGGCCCACCTTTGCCCCAAGGCCGGGCCAATGAACTGCACCTCTGGAATGAGGTATTTAAGAAGGGAAGAGTTGGGGGAGTGGTGAGAAGTTGCGATGAGAACATCTGTGTGAACACAGAAGAAAGTAGAAGGGGGGAAAGTGCGCTGGAGCAGAGACTCCCCTGTATCCATGGTGAGAAGGCAGGGCCACTCCCCTGCCACCCGTGGAAGTGCAGATGGTGATTTGTGGTCTGTGGGGGACCCCATGCCGTGCCAGGTGACTGTGCCCAAAGAAGGCTGGGACCCCACAGGAAGAAGCCCCCACAGTTGTAGTTTCACGGAATCATCTGGGTTGGAAAAGCCCTTGAACCTCCTCCAGCCCAACCATGACCCCCGCCCCGACCGTTCCCAACTCCACCAGATCCCTCAGCGCTGGGTCAACCCAACTCTTCAACCCGTCCAGGGATGGGGACTCCCCCCCTGCCCTGGGCAGCCCATTCCAACGCCCAACAGCCCCTTCTGCACAGAAATCCTTCCTCAGAGCCAGCCTGACCCTGCCCTGGCACAGCTTGAGGCCATTCCCTCTGGGCCTGGCGCTGGGTCCTTGGCTCAAGAGACTCATCCCCCCTCTCTGCACCCTCCTCTCAGGGAGTTGCAGAGGGCCAGGAGGTCTCCCCTCAGCCTCCTCTTCTCCAGACTGAACCCCCCCGGTTCACTCAGCCGCTCCCCATCAGACCTGTGCTCCAGACCCTGCACCAACATCCAATGTCGTTTTTGTAGTGAGGGGCCCAAAACTGAACCCACTCATCAAGGTGTGGCTTCACCAGTGCCACCGAGCACAGGGCTCATATCCCTTCCCTGTCCCTGCTGGACACGCTGCTGCTGACACAAGCCAGGATGCCATCACCACAGTTTGGCGCTGGGAGGGCAGCAACACACAGGGGTGACCCACACACCCGTGGGAGTGACTCATGTCAGAGTTGGTTTGTGGAGCTCTGTCTCCTGTGCTGGAGAAGGGGAGGAATGCCAGAAGTTCCCATCTCCCCGAGGTGGAAGAAGTGACAGGACTGACTGCATCCCCCATTCCCTGTTCCCTCCGCTGCTGGAGGGAGGAGGTAGAGAAATGGGGAGCAAAGCTGAGCTCAGGAAAAAGGGAGGGGTGGGGGAAGGTGTTTTCAGGATGTGGTAATGATTCTCACGGCCCTCCTCTGTTCCATGATGTTGTTGTGTTTGTATTAAATTTTGTGTTCTTTTTTTTACTTCCCCCACCAATCTGACTTTTGCCTGTGCCTTAAAGGATGAGATCATCCCTCTCTGTCCTGTCTGCAAGTTGCTGGATCTTCACTTCCCTCCCTCTCAGCACTAGGGGGAGGGAAGTGGGGAGCGAGCGCTGCGTGGCACTCGGTCCCCTCTGAGCTCAAACCACCCCACCTGTGCACAAGAGCAAATAAAAGTTTCCAACCACTTCAGCTTCGTGTTCGCTCACGCAACCTGCCTGAGACAGGAGCTCTTTGTGCAGACCAGGGGAGCTGGGGGGCTGCTGCCACTGCAGACAGGGCCACTAAGGTGGGGGCACCTCCCCAGGCAGCTCCTCCTCAGCCCCAGGAACAAAGCAGGAATTCTGCAGACACCGTACTGCAAACCAGGGATCCTGCAGGCACCATCCTGTCCCCAGCCAGTCCCAGGGCCGTGGTGGCACCTGGAGCCGTGCTGAGAGGAACCACAGAGACACTGGGCTGCACCCCAACACGGTGGGGCCGTTATGGGTCTTGGGCTCGGAGGGGATCCTGCACCCTTGTGGCTCTGAGGGGGTCCTGATTCCTTGTGGCTGTGAGAGGACCCTGCATCTTCATGGCTTGAGGGGATCCTGCACCCTCCTGGTTCTGAGAGGACACAAAATCCTCGGGTGTCTGAGGGGATCCTGAGCCTCCATGGCTTTAGGGGGGCCCTGAGCACCTACAGCTCTCAGGGGATCTTGTAGCTGATGGCCAGACAGTTCAGCAGGTTCACCAGACGAGGAGAATGAGGTAAGGTGGCAACTCCAAGCAGACTGTGGGTCACGCAGCGGCTGTCCCTCATGACTCCTGGATCTGTGGAGACCTTGATCCCTCATTGCTCAGAGGATCCTGTGTGGTCACAGCTCTGTGAGAAACCAATCCCTTGTAGCTCAGAGAGGGTCCTGAGCCCCCACAGCTCTAAGGAGGTGCTGGACCCTTGTGGCTCTGAAAGGATCCCTGGTCCTCATGGCTCTGAGAGGATCCTCGATCCTTTCTGGCTCTGAGAGGATCCCTGATCCCTTCTGGCTCTGCAGAGACCCTGGTCCCTCACAGCTCTGAGGGGATCCCTGGTCCCTCCAATCTCTGAGGGGACCCTCGATCTCTTCCTGCCCCCGATTCCCCCTGGTCCCTCCTGCCCCCGAGTCTCCCCGGTTGCTCCCGCCTCGAGTCCCCCCGGTCCCTCCCGGCCCCGAGTCC